CAAAGTGGGTTTGCCGAACTTTAAGAAATCCACCATCAGACCTAAAACTGTTGATGCATTGTTTATAGAGTACGCTACGAATAATGATGCATACAAATTCATGCTTTTACAATATTATTCTATTTGTGAGTCAATGGATGCTATTTTCTTCAAAAATACTTTTCCTTTCAAGAAAACGAGAATAAATATCGAAACACTAATAGAAAATATTTCATCCACTTATTCTAGTAATCTTGCTAGGTCTTCTGAATAAATTATTTTTGAGCCTAGAAAAAGTAAAAGGCAAAGAGTTGAAACCTCTTTTGGACCATACTTTATTACTTCCTTTATTTCTGAAATAAATGATTTAGACTCCATTTCAGATCCTATAGCTCAAATTTTTCTGTTAGATGAGGATCCTAAAACTTTTTAAAAAACTATAAAATATATCGATGCTAGTTTATGGAAAAGCGCTATTAATGATGAAATAGAATCAATAATGTCTAATTATACTTGGGAATTAGTTGACTTGCCTAGGGGATTCAAACCAATCTACAACAAATGGGTATTCCGAAAGAAACTGAGGCCATATGGTTCGATTCAGCGGTACAAGGCAAGGTAAGTCGTCAAAGGGTTCACTCAAAGGTTTGGTTTAGAATACTTTGATACATACTCTCCCGTTATGAAAATCTCAACGATCCGTGCATTTTTTGCGCTAGCCTCTATTCATAAGCTGCAGGTACATCAAATGGATGTTAAAGACTTCATTTCTAAATGGGGATCTAGATGAGGAGATTTACATGGAGCAGCCACTAGGTTTTGAAGCACCTGGTATGGAAAGCAAAGTCTGTAGACTTAAAAAATCACTATATGAACTTAAGTAGGCTCCTAAACAGTGGTATGAGAAATTTCATAAAACTATTCTTAGTTTTGGTTTTTTTATGAATGGTTCGGATGCTTGTGTGTATTCGAGGATGTTAGGCACTGAATGTGTCATCATAAGCTTGTATGTTGATGACATGTCGATTTTCAGTTCTAACATTGAGTTCACTAACAAAGTTAAAAGTTTCTTGTCCACAAAGTTTGAGATGACATATTTGGGAGAAGTCGATGTAATCTTAGGAGTTGTGATATGTGTGGCTAAGAACCAAACTTACAATGGTAAGAAAATGCACATTCACATAAGATATGAATCGGTCAAACACTTAATAAATAATGAAGTTCTTCTTTAGAGTATGTGAAGTTGGAAAGGAACCTAGCATATCCTTTTACCAAAGGTTTAAGTAGAAAACTGGTCCTAGATTTGTAGAGGGGGATGGGTCTAAAACCCATTGGCTGAGGAATTCATGGTGGATACCCAACTTAGTTATCTAAGTTCAATGTAGTTAAATGAAACCATGAAAAGACTCATAGTGTACATTCCTATCTACTTATCCCTATAATGAATAATGTGCATGCTAATGATGAGCTAAATTGCTCTTAATAAGTGAGAAAGACTTGATGAACTTACCGACTTTGGTTGAATATATATTCTTAATAAGTTTATAACCCAAAGTTAGTGGGTAGTCCTATATGAGAAGGATAAAATGAATTTACCAACAGAAAGGTTGAGTTTGTTAAACTCTTAATAAATTCAAATCCAAGAATTTGGATGGTTCTAGTGAGAAGGACTTACTGAATTTATCGATTAATGAGGTTGAATATTTATTCTTAATGACTTCTTATCCTAGAGTTTGGATTGTTCATTAATAATGAACTTGAAGAAAGTCACCATACCTAGGGGATGACGTCATCGATCTCGAACAACCGACCACGAACCCTTTGACAACCATTAACCTAGGGGATGACGTCATCGAACTCGAACAACCTTCTCTGTCGGGACGTCGACACGAGAAGCTACTGCAACTCTCAGACTCGCTGATGTCGACGCTCAGACTGTAGCTTCTGTACCGCTGGGTCTGTTGGTCGGAGCCGTCGTCGGAATACTCACTCACCATGATGTTTTTAAACAAAATCCAACGGCTTTGAAAAGAAAAGAAAAAAGCCCTCAGCTGCACGTTTGCTAACAAAGAAGAAATCTTGGGTCTTTCCCAGCTGTGGCAGTGAAGAAGAAGAAATCAGATAAGCTCGTGGTGAGTAGATGACATGGCGCCAATTTTGATTGCGTGTGAAAGGGACCAAACAGCGGTTAACTCTTTTGCCGGGGGACGTGAAAGGCTAGGGAACGTATGTTTGTACTTTCAATAATATGACCTAGCATCGCTAAACGTTGACCGTAATTAATTGGATTTAAAGATTTCATCTTGGTCAGCGATACGGAAGTACCGTCAATGCGGAATCTGAACCGTTAAAAGTAGTGGGAGCCGTAAGTTTTTACTTAACGGTCGGGATGTGGAGAACGGAAAAGAATCTTTAGCGGCTTGAAGGCTGATATCGTGCGGAAGAGACTTAATTGATGTGGGATATGGTTTACGTCTGCAAACGGTATCATACATTAACACGAATTAATATGATTAAGAACGCAGGGTGGAATTACATGTCCCTTAGGGATCGGGACCACATTTATAACTATCTAATTACTAGATATAATAATAAATAATAAGAACACACATATTCATAGTTGTGGAGTTTGATTCACGGGATTGAGCACTTGAGATGAGGCATAGAGTAAGAGAAACTCCATAGGTCAGATACTAGGGATGGCAAACAGGCGGGTCGAGTGTGGATACCCCCTCCCCATCCCCATACCCACCTAATATTTTTCAATCCACCACCACCCATGATGGGTACAAATTTTCAAATCCACACCCGCCCACGCAAGTACATTCTCAAATCCATCCCCACACCCACTACCCACTAACGACGTACCCGTCTAGACCCGCATGAAAACAATCTTAAGTTATATATAAGCAACAAACATAAAAAACATTTCCATTAAGAAACATATCCATTAAGAAACATAATAAAATAATCCAAAGATTATCTGAGTTAAATTTTAATATAGATCTTAAAGTACATAAAACACCATAATAAAAGACATAATTAAAGTTTATAAATATAAATGACAAACACATAATGTTTTTGTTCATTGGCACAACATTTTAAAATTTCAGGCAATACTTGTGACATCCGATACTCCAGTATTACAATCACCATTCTCTATTTTCTCCAATTGAGAGCGCTCCAATTTAAATTTACTACTACCTACATATATAATAGAAAGTGTGCGGGCGGATGCGGGGTGGGTAATGTCTCAAACCCATTACTCGCCCACTACCCGTGACGGGTATTACTTTCTAAATCCACACTCACCCACTGCCCGCTAAAATTATACCCATCCCCGCCCCAATTGGAGCGAGTGCGGTGCGGAATCCACAAAACTGTACCCGTTTGCCATCCCTATCGGATACTACACGTTGTTGACTCAAAATCTAGATTGATTTCAATTTAAGATCTAAATATTTAAAAGAATTGAACATAAATAATAAAACTACCATGAAAGATACATAAAAAAGATGTATAAATTAAGAATAGTAATAGAGTGAAATACAAGTAAATTATTTCATCGATTTTTATCTTACATATGTATGAATGTTAAAACTATTTCGTTTGAATTTATTATATTTATAATGTCGTTTATGGTTTTCTTGGTAAAAAATAATAATCCATAAGATTAAATCATAGGATTCTTAGGAATGAAATTATTTTGTAATAAGATGCCATGATGAATACCAAGTGCAAACATGTGTGGTTATCATCCCCACACATGACTTTGAGATTTATTAACTCCTTAAACTATTTCCTAGTCACTGATATCACTAACTCCACATTCCAATAATCTCTATTAATATTTAATTTTCACACACCAAGGATCGGGTGGTGATTGGTTGTATCATGTGTTTCTACTCTTGCCATTCCATAGATTCCTGTTGCTCCTTATCGTTCTGTGGCATTTATGGAATCGTCGCAACCTCTATTTTCATGACGGTCGTTTGCTTCCGATGTGGCAGATTGTTATGTCCAGCCTATCGATGTTATCGGCATTTGTTGCAATTCGCGGAATCTCTGATCCTGCTCTTGTTCCACCGCTGATTCATCATGATCGACGGAAGAAACCCCCTGCTCATACTATCACCATCAATGTTGATGGTGCTTGCCCAACGACCATCCATGGAACTCCGGCTCTCGGTATTATGGCTCGGGGTCATCATGGTATGGTTGTCGCAGCTCAAGCGGTGCCGATTGATGGTCCTTGTGACCCCATTCTTGTGGAGGAAGCTGCTGTCACTCGGGGCATTCGATTGGCTGTAGAATTGGAATGTTTGCATGTTGGCATTGAGAGTGACGCGGCAAATGTAGTTCTACAACTGTTCTCTTCACAGCCTACTTTGTCCTCTCTCGACTTCCATCTTACTGCAGGCATCGAGATGTTACTGTCCATTCCATGCGTCGCTCTCGCTCCGCCAATATCGCTGCTCATACTCTTGCTCAGTTTGCGTTAGCGCTTCCGAGGCCTCTTTTCTACGCTTTTGATTTTCCTTTCTGTCTTTCAAATGTTCTTGTAACATACTCTACTTCTTTCGTACTTTTAATAATTTATTTTCGTTTCATAAAATTTTATAAATTTATATTTTTCTAATAATTTAAAAATTTATTCTAACGTAAAATCTCGTGTGCCACCGTATCTCCCACACTTTCCCTCTTATTTTACTCCAAAGGTGACTTGTTTTCTTTTATATATATACTCCATAATTAGGGATGAACTTAAAGGGGTGCGATTGTGTCTCTATACAATTTTAGATTTCCTTATATTTTAGGTGTCTTTTTATATATTTTATTAATTATTTAATTTCATACTTTTAGAATTTTTCAGTCTTCAAAATTTTTAATATAACTTGAGATAAATTTCTCAATCCGTCTCTGTCCATAATCTTAACCCTAAAAATCAAGTAAATAAGAAAAAAATACGTGGTTTTCTGACAAAGGCCTATCTTTTCCACTCACATATTTGCAGTTGACATGTTTAGAGAGCAACGTATTAAACTCCCACTTCCAAAAACGAAACAGAGGATTTTATCACAATAACACAGAGCTATGGCATCCCTGAACCTCGTTCATGGGCGCCAATCTCTCGTTCATTTTCCGGACTCCACCATGTTATTTCCAAGACCACCTTCCCATCCCCTCTCTAATTACAGTTTCGCCACTTCATCTGGTAAAAGAAGTTTCCTTCCTTTTCTTGTCCTTTCTCAGTGTTCTTCAGTATACAAATATGTTTATAGATGAAGTACACTCTTTGAACTATATTTTACTTATTTAGACAAGACCCAAGTGATTAAAATAGTTCATTGTTGCCTTCTCTTCCTTAATTTGTAATTCATCTTTTGCATTCTTGTTTTCTTTATGGTTCATGATAAGAAAACAAAATACCAAGTTTGATTTTTTTATTTTTAATTCAAATTGTTAAAATTTTAGCTGTAGTTTTAGTTATTAGATTTAGATGCAAACTATTGTTTTTTGAATGGTGGAATTGTTTTCTATTTAATTCAACTTATCTTTAAGTATTTTAGCTCACAAGGTGTTTGTTCTTGGGTCCTTAATTTCGCTTTGGAAGCAGGGGGATAACACTTTCAAGATGGGGAAAGATTGGTTCAATCTATGCATTCCCAGATTTTTTTCTTCTTCCGAAATTTTAGTATTTTGAGCTTTTTCGATCCTATGAATTTTTTGTTTGAATGCTCTTTGATTCTGTTTTATCATGTTTCAATTGATTTTGGGTAATCATTGTCTCTTCTTCCTCTAAATAAATACAACTGGAGTCATTATATTTTAGTACTTATGTACTTTTTTGCAATTTTATTTGTTTGGTATCTTGAAATCTACATTTGCATATTTAATTTTAATCTTCCACTGATTTTCTTTTTCCCTGGTGAGGCAGAATATCTTTAGGGTTATGCATTAATTCCTAGATATTTTGTGTTTGAGCAAATGCAGGCTTTCATACAGGAACCTTGGAACTTTTCTCTCCTGCCATTTTTGTGTGTAGAAGTAGTTATACAAGAGGAGCTCGGAGCAACCGATCGAGAATTAGATCAGGTTGCTTTAGTTAATTATTTATTCTTTTAATCATGCTTTCGTTTTCTTTATCAGTGGATATCGTCGTTACCATGTGAATTTTCAGCATCGGTACAGCGCGTAACTGAGGAATTGACGGAGGAAGAATCAAAGGATTCTCTTATAAGTGGAGATTCTATTCGTCAGCGGTTTCTTGATTTTTATGCTTCTCATGGTCACAAAATTATTCCTAGTGCTTCTCTTGTGCCAGATGACCCAACAGTTCTACTGACAATTGCAGGAATGCTTCCGTTCAAGCCAATATTCCTTGGGAAGGTAATGGATGAAATCCTTAATGAATACATTGTGGAGATTTGTTAAAATTTGTCGTCAAACAGAATAAAACTTTAAATTGAAATTATTTTGATTGCTTGACCTTGATGTGACGAAAGTAGCTCTTTATATTTAGATTCCCAGACAAGTACCTTGTGCTACTACTTCACAAAGGTGTATACGCACAAACGACGTGGAGAATGTCGGCAGAACAACAAGACATCATACATTTTTTGAAATGCTAGGAAATTTCTCCTTCGGAGATTACTTTAAGAAGGAAGCTATCCAATGGTCATGGGAGCTTTCCACCAAGGAGTAAGCATGGATTTAGTATTGCCTTTTGGATGCCAAATATCGATCTATTCATTGTTTTTTCTCAAGGATGGTGGTTCCTTATCACACATTCAGTTTCTTCCATATGAAGATGAAAGTTGTTTGTGCTTACAGATTTGGGTTGTCACCTGGAAGATTATGGATAAGTGTGTACGAGGATGATGATGAAGCTTTTGAAATATGGCACAACGAGGTAATCCAGGATGCACTTAGGCACTTGTTATTCTTTTATGAATGTTCCCCTTGTACATGTATCAATGCGCCTCTTCCATCGTGCCTAGTGTTCTAGAAGCTACAACTTTAATTTTGGATGGATTGGAAAATGACATTTTTCATGTTATGTTAAATGATTTTGATGCTATATTTTTCATCAGGTGGGTGTTCCTGTTGAACGTATAAAAAGAATGGGTGAAGACGACAACTTTTGGATGAGTGGTGCTACTGGTCCCTGTGGTCCATGCTCTGAGATATATTATGATTTTCATCCTGAGAGGGGAACTGCTGATGTGGTTGGTACTTACTTCAGACAATTCTTTTTATTTCTTTCATTGTGGTTATTAAGGTTCTGTCTGGCCATTGGTCAGGTTACTCGTATGTTTCTGGTTCCAGTTCTTTTCTTTCCCTTAACCTGGGTGAATAATATGCAGGATCTAGGGGATGATACTAGATTTATAGAGTTCTACAATCTTGTATTCATGGAATACAATAAAAAGGATGATGGAACACTCGAGCCCTTAAAGCAAAAGAACATAGATACTGGTCTTGGCTTGGAGCGTTTGGCTCGTATTCTGCAAAAGGTATTTATGATCTCTTTTTTTTTTCTGCTTCTCATGTCAAACTAAAATCATATTTCACCGAAGTTACACCTCATTAGCATCACTTGTAAGGTTATATGCTTCGAAAATTAAAATAAACCTTTTTCCTTTTTTTGGCAGGTTCCAAACAACTATGAGGCTGACTTGATCTATCCAATTATAGAGAAGGCATCAGAAATGGCTAATATCTCATATCTCTTGGCAGATGAGCAAACAAAGTTGAAATTAAAGGTAAAGGTTTGCTTGTAACAACCTTTGTTAGATTTACGATATTGTTGCAAAAAAAAAAAAGTTTCTTTATTTCATAATTATATCTCATTTTTCAAAATTTTCTGCTGCTTTTAGATTGTTGGAGATCATCTACGGGCTATAGTATATCTTATATCGGATGGTGTTTTGTCATCAAATATTGGTAGAGGTTACGTGGTTCGACGGCTTATCAGAAGGGTTGTTCGAGCTGGCAGGTCCCTCGGAATAAAGGGGGTTGAAGGAGCATTTTTACCTATAATTGCTGAAAAAGTAATAGAATTAAGCACCCATATTGATTCAGATGTCAAGATTAAAGCGACCCGTATTCTTGAGGAGCTGAAGAAGGAAGAGCTTAATTTTGTGCAAACTCTAGAGAGAGGAGAAACTTTACTCGAAAAGATGTTAGTGGATGCATTATCAAATGCCAAGAAAAGTGGGACTGTGCCTTGCTTATCTGGAAAAGATGCATTTCTTTTGTATGACACTTTCGGATTTCCGGTGGAGTTAACCACAGAAATCGCTGAAGAACAAGGCGTTACTGTAGATATGAATGGTTTTGATATAGAGATGGAAAACCAAAGGCGCTTATCTCGGGCTGCACATAATGTTGTTAAACTTACAGTCGAAGATGGTGCTAATCTTACGGATACTATAAACGAAACTGAATTTGTAGGATATGACAACCTTTCCACTCAAGCAGTAGTAGAAAGCCTCATGGTGAATGGGTGTCCAGTGATACAGGTTTCTGAAGGAAATGATGTAGAGGTTTTGTTGAACAGAACACCATTTTATGCTGAATCCGGTGGTCAAATCGGAGACCATGGCGTTCTATTTGTTTCCGGAAGTGAAAAGCAACAAACAGCTGTCGTGGAGATTAAGGATGTCCAAAAATCCCTAGGTGACATAGTTGTTCATAAGGGGACTATCAAAAAGGGAATTCTGGAAGTTGGCAGAGAAGTGCAAGCTGCTGTGGATGCAAAACTGAGGCAGCGGGCGAAGGTACCAGCTTTAATTGTGGCCTGGGCCTTTCTTTTTTTTAAAAAAAAAAATATAGGGAATTAAACAACTTTCCCTATGACTGTGACTCTCAATGACACAAGGACAATTGACCATATCATCTAAATAAACTATCATAAAGTTTTTTTTCTTTTTTTCTTTCTTCATTCAGGTCCATCATACTGCTACTCATTTGCTACAATCAGCGCTTAAGAAATTAATCAGCCCGGAAATATCACAAGCTGGTTCCTTAGTGGCTTTTGATCGTCTCAGGTTTGATTTCAACTATGGCCATGCCCTTACTGACACTCAGCTTGAAGAGATTGAGCGATTGATCAATGATTGGATTGAGGCTTCGACATTTCTTAAAACAAAAGTGATGCCTCTTAAGGATGCAAAAGAAGCTGGTGCCATTGCAATGTTCGGGGAAAAATATGGCGAGCAGGTATGTGTTCATTCTTCATAATACCAATGCAGTTTATGCATGCTTCGTTTAGCACGTCTTTGAATCATTTTCAATTCATCCTTTGACAAGATTGCACGTCACTATACCCTAGCCATTGCTTTAGTACCAGCTAATCGAAATAGTTCTTCCTAATTTTATAATACATGTAGGTAAGAGTTGTGGAAGTACCTGGTGTATCCATGGAGCTTTGTGGTGGGACCCACGTCAGCAATACGTCTGAAATACGTGTCTTCAAAATAATATCCGAGCAAGGGATTGCATCTGGGGTCAGGCGCATAGAAGCTGTTGCTGGTGAAGCGTTTATCGAATATATCAATATCAGGGAATCACAAATAAAGAACCTATGCTCGATGCTCAAGGTGAGTTGTGGTTATAACTTGAAACCTTCTCCCAACATGCTCCATTGTGAAAGATTAATGCCCATCCGGAAACACGATATCTATTTTATCCTTGAAACATTTTCCTGTCACCACCATTAGAGATTTTGATGTTATTTAGCATTGTTTTTGCAGGTGAAAGCTGAAGAAGTGAACACCAGAGTAGAAAAACTCTTAGAGGAGTTACGAACGTCCAGAAATGAAGTTGTTGATCTGCGTACACAAGCAGCAGTATTTAAAGCATTAACGATTGCAAACAAAGCATTTGAAGTAGGAACTTCACAAAAGATCAGGTAAATTGTACTATTTCAGAAGTAGAAAATGTGCAACTCTGGTAATAATGTTGAGAAGTGTTGAAACCTGAGGGGTAAAGTGTTGTTACTATTTATTCGTGACTTTTTCTTTCGAACATTCCATTCCAGAGTGCTCGTTGAGTCCTTGGATGATGTGGATGCTGATTCACTAAAAGTTGCGGCCGAGCATTTAATCGGTACACTGCAAGATCCTGCAGCTGTTATCTTGGGCTCTTGTCCAGATGAAGGGAAAGTTAGTTTAGTTGCTGCTTTCACTCCTGCAGTGGTTGATCTGGGTATACAGGCAGGAAAGTTAATAGGCCCCATAGCTAAACTGTGCGGCGGAGGAGGCGGTGGCAAGCCAAATTTTGCTCAAGCGGGTGGGAGGAAACCCGAGAATCTGCCGAGCGCCCTTGAAAAGGCGCGGGAAGATATCATCTCGATTTTATCTGAAAAAGCAAGCTGAAGTACTTCTAACTTTTATGAGCAATAAGTAGGAAGGAAGATTGTACAGGTAAATTGACATTCATTTTAAAGATGAATAGTGTAGATACTTGATTTTATCTATGTAATAATATATCATAAATGCAGCAGAAGTGGAAAATATGACAGCAATCCATTTTAGTGTCCATAAACTTATTTAGGGCAAAATCTCGTTGATAGTGCGTTGAATTTTTTTTTTCACGAAATAGTGGGATCGCCAGATTAATTGCTCAAGTGGTGTCCTCTACAGTACCGGGGGTAGGTCGCCATGCATGCCCTGCGACCTACCAGCCAACGACCTCCATGCCCATGCACGCCCATGCACGCCCATCTCGCCAAAGGAGCACGCCCATGCACGCCCATCCATGCCCTGCTGCATGCTCGCCTGCTCGCGACCTTGCCGGGACTCCATGGCGACCTACACATGCACGATCTCCCCATTCTTCCCATGCATGAACCGATCCTTGGTCGCCCCGAGTGTCCCATGCATGAATCGTTCCTTGGTCATCCTTGGTCGCCTCGAGTGCCCCATGCATGAACCGAGCCCCCGAGTGCATGGCACGATCTCCCCATGCATGAATCCTTGGTCGCCCCGAGTACATGGCGACCTCCTTGGTCGCCGGGCGTGCATGGCGACCTAGGAGGTCGCTGGGAGTGCATGGCGACCTAGGAGGTCGCTGGGAGTGCATGGCGACCTATGGTTGGGTTGTGCATGGCAAGCCACGTCGTAGGTCGCCCGGAAGGCATGGCGACCTACGGCCACACTGTTGATTTCGCCCTATTTCAGCAAATAATGTTGGGATAACGTTATTTCGTGAATTATTTATTTTGAGTGCATTATATCGTGAGTTTAGCCCTTATTTAGTGTATGATTTTCTAACTACTGTTCTTAAACTATATGTATGTTGGGAACCAGGGACAATTGTTGCTTCATTGTGACCTTAAAAGATACAAGCATCAAGTTTCGAGCAGCTGGAAATGGGGTGTCCACGACAGAATTCGTTGACCCAAGCTTCATTAATTTGATCTTTTCAAAACAATTGCATCAATCCCACGGTCAGAAAGCAAAGCTTTTCCTATTGAAATGGTTTAAGTGCGTTAGAGATCCCCATACCCTTTTAAAATTTGAAGCTAAAGCCCTATACTTCAGTTTTTAGACATTGAGCATTTTCACCCAAAAAAAAAAAAAGCCATTGAGCCCTCTGTAGTCTTTTTTATTTGAAAGTATTGGTTCACCAGTCTAATTTTTCTGTTAATGGCGTTGGCAATAATATAAAGCGATAAAATAAAATTTTTAATCCTCAATGTTTATTGTCTTTATCAATTTAGCCCTTAATCTTTAAAAGTGCATAAAAATTCTTAAAATATTTATTCAAATCCTAATTTAGTGTGGACTGAACAAATAGCTCAATCTCTAAAGAGCTCTTGTCGCCATTAAGAAATGAAAACACATTTTTTTGGAAGTGTTAAAATGTAAGGACCAAATTGACAAAAACCATAAACATGAAAGCTAAAAAGTTATTTAGTTTTATTTTATAATTACCGCGTAAGTACCATTAACAGAAAAATTGGACCGAGGGACCAATATCTTTAAATAAAAAAAGGTACAACAACTCAATGTCTCCAAATTAAAGGATTGGAACTAAATTTTGAAATTTTAAAAAAATACAGGGAGCTCCTACATATTTAAACCTATTTAAAACTACACAAGTCTTCAGGTTCTTACTTATTCAGCTAGAGGCACGGCTCTTTCCTTACCCAGCAGCACGTTTTCAAATCCCATGGTTTTCTGGAAATGCTTAACTATTGTTCATACTAACCTTCATGTATAAATAATCTCTCTTTGCTGCTCATATCTCATTCACATTTCGCAACTCAACAAAGAAGAAATGACTCACTGGTTTCTGTTCCTTCTCTTTTCTTCTGCTGCTGCTTGTGATCTATGCGTGCACCAATCCAAGGCTTCTTTCGTCACTTCAGTCTCTGCACTTACATGTAATAAGCTTCCAAGTTCCATCTTCATCATAGTTTTGCAAAAGGTTTAATGGGTAACATTTGTTTTCTGGGTTTGACATTTGCAGCCGGAGCTTGTGGATACGGTTCCTTCGCAATAAGCCTCAGCGGTGGAAACCTTGCAGCTGGTGTTTCTTCCCTTTACAAAGGAGGGGCTGGTTGTGGTGCTTGCTTTCAGGTAATTTGTATTACTACTTTTTGAAAACATTTCTTATTGTTTATTGATTGTTGACAACATTGCTTTTGCAGATAAGATGTAAGGATCCAAAACTCTGCAGCAGTGAAGGGGCTAAGGTGACACTAATCTATCACAATTACGATAACCGAACTGACTTTGTTCTTGGTTTCTTTGCTTTACTAGACATGGCTAACGACGGCATGGCCTGAGACATTTACAAACAAGGGATCGTGGACGTTTATTATAAAAGGAAACCTTGTGTATATGAAAACCAGAACTTGTCTATTAGGGTTGAAGAATCAAGCCAAAGACCATATTACCTGCAAATTAAATTGCTTTATCAAGGAGGTCAGACTAAGATTGTAGCCATTGATGTAACTGAGGTTAGCCTAAAACCATATGCTTATTTGCTTATATAACTCTTGTTTCATAGTCTTTAATTTGTTTTTGTTATGTTAATTATGATTTGCAGGTTGGGTCACTGGAACTCCATGACCATGAGTAGGAAATATGGGGCAGTTTGGGGCACAAACAGAGTCCCAAATGGTGCATTGCAGTTCAGATTTGTGGTAACATCTGGGTATGATGGGAAGTGGATTTGGGCAAAGAGTGTGCTCCCAGCTGACTGGAAACCTAGAGTTGTTTATGATTCTGGAGTTCAAATCACTGACATTGCACTAGAAAGTTGCTATCCTTGTGATTATGATGGGACTTGGTGATGAGAAGATGAACAAAGTTTGAATAATAGTTTGGGAAATGAAATATTCATGTTTGTATACATAGTTTGAATAATAATTTGGGTGAAAAAAAGACAACTACCCTGGTATGGTTTGAAAAACATCAGGATCTGTTAAGTTTTAAATAAAAAAATAATTATATTGTTGTTGTTTAACGTGTATTATCCAATAAATTGATTCAACAAGTTGAAGGAATTATTAGAGTCAATTCTGTTCCGTTCATCCAACACTGATTACTCTCTATTATACTATAAACAAGGTAAAGTGGTCATCTTTCTTATTATTTATGTTGATCACAATGAATTCAAAGAAAGAAGTGACTTTAATCTTTTTCACAAACTATATAATCAATACTAAGCATTATCTATTGGATCTTTTCCCTTATGCCTCCGGATGCTATGAGTTTGCTCAAGAACAGAAGCAACAAATCTTCTCGATAAAGAGCAAAACTTTAACCAGTAGGAAGAATATTAGAACAATGACATTTACAGTTTACTTTTGTAACAAATTAACTTATTGTTTACTGATATTTTGTCTTCTTCTACAATGTGCAAATCAACTGTGAGTATAACAGCTACATGAAAGAATTTGTAAATGATTTTTCGAAACGAAAGATTATGCACATTCCATTTTTACATTCTACTGCTCTAGTTTACACTTGCCCTACAGGTCTTCACTGGGTCTGTTAGAACAATTAAAAACAACTAAGGGATCTTCACCGTCTAGGCAGTGAAGGTCTCGGAGTACTGAAAACAGTACATGCGATGGCCGTTAAGGCTGTTTGATCTAATAAAGATTGATATTTTTCGTTGAAATCATCAGACAACCGTGATGAACATGGGGTTGGACTGACAAGGGTTCGTTGAAGAGGAAACAGATAATAAGCAATAGTGATGGAGGAACAACCATAGATCGAGTTTTCGTTGAAGAGGAAGGTATGATCCACTATCATCTCAGCAGATGCACATATCCCTTTTACCATTGAGTCCACTCAATTAGTTTAAAGGAATTCTTCAGAATGGTCTCAAAAGGGACACCCCCGCTGTGTGGCCCGGGTCATTGAAATAATAATAAGAAAAAATGTCAATCCCTGCTTGAATCAACATGCAATGGGAAGCCCCAGCAGGCTCATTAATGGCTATAACGGTCCAGTATCTTCATCATATTCCCTTTCCCCATGTTTTATTTACTTTAATTTTCTTTCATCCAATAATTTATGCTCAACTTTGCTGATGAATATGCTTAACAAGGTAGTTTGCGTGGACAATCAATTGATAAACAGATGTATTAAATTATCGCTTAAATGAATGAAACTCACATGATACGGTGGCGACTGATGAGGACAGATTTCAGAGATTCTGTCAAAGGAGATGTATTCTCGCCTATCAAAAGGTTGACTCACGAGGTATCCTTGGGCAAGGAGTAAGAGTTCTCATGTAAGGGGTCTCAGTTATTCGTCTGACGACAAAATAAAACACATTTGATTATTTGAAATCAGTTTTCTGATTATATATTGATTTAAGTACTAATCATGTCATCCCATTCATGGTTTTCGATGATCTTACTATTAGGCAGCTATCTGATTTTGTTTTGTCACCAAAATCCTCCAAAAGGAACCCCAAAGATGCCAGCAACTTTCCCTTTATTTTTGTTTGTCACTCTAGGTTGGTACTTGGCCAGTTTCATTGCCGAGAGATGAAGCAAAAACCCTAGAAGCTTTCGGCAATGGCAGCACTTGTTGTTATTCCAAACCCCATATCCATTGCTATAAAAAATTGAGGGACATGATTGCTTGACTGTGACCCGAAAGGAGATAAATAAAGTATCAAGTTTCAGGCAGCTGGATAAAGCATAAGTTGTGTCCACATTAGACTCCATTGACCCAAGTTATATAGTGCCAGAGGCACACGTTCTCTTAATATATTGGATGGTTAAAAGTCGGCAGATAGTGGATCCAATTCATTATTTCTATAGTCGGATTCAAGGCTTTGAAAAACAGGGAACAAAAAGGGCACGTACAAGTTTGGGGCACTGAGCTGAGAACAATTGATCAACTTGATCCCATTAAATGAAAAGACTCTTAAAAGTGACAAATTTCAATCTTTTTTCGGTCTTTAAGTTCTTATTACAGCTACAGGGACAGCTGTTTAGACATA